CAATTAACAAAAGGTTCCTTTATTACTTGCTAATTCTTTCTGCTTTTTACTTAGAGCCTGCCCAAAAGGATGTGAAGTACTTAACTTGGCATAGGACGACATCGTCACGGTCATCTTCATCCAGGAATCCTCTTGGATTAAATGCCAAGGATGATTCAGATGATCAGGCTGGCAATCTTTTTGATAATTTTTGTATGATCTCCGGCAGTCATGCTTCTACCTTAGACAGGCTATATGCGTGGGAGAGGAAACTTTATGACGAAGTGAAGGTATTGTGGTTTCTTAAAATAAATATAGCATTGATATTACTTCCGTTCATGTGTTTTGCCTTATTTTCATATGATAGTAAATGCGGTTTACTTGTTTTGCCAACTTCACATGAAACCAGAAAATTGCATGAAGATCTGTTGTAAATGATCGCATTCCAGCAGTTTATCCTTTTTACTATTAGGGGTCTGTTTTTTTAGATATTATCTAGCTGTGTCTCAGTCACTCACATGGTGTAAGAAATCAAAATGGATGTTTTGATGCACATGGTGTAGGAATCAAAAGTAAATATCTAAATAATTAGTTTCAAAGGGAACAATTCCTTCATCACATTCATTCTTGCTATGTCATCTGTTACAGATTTTGTTACTCCCTTTCGTATGGAAGCCTCCACCTTTCTTTTCACTCTATCCTGTGATTGTCTATCCAATATCGATTAATTTAGTGATTATAATTGTTGAACAGTCCCGATATAAATTATTGGTGATAAAGAAAAAATATTGACTGACTTAATTTTTTTTCAAATAGGATATAACTTGGGAAGAGGAAAATTTTAGTGGTGATGTGTCACTGCATTATTTGTTGTTCATAAGCCTTGTTCTCTGTCAAGCAAACACTCTTATGGAATCTATGTACGTTACCTCAGTTGTCTATTGTGATTTTGAAATTAACGAGAGACATTAAAATCTGACATCGCAAGAAAGAAAATTTAGAAAGTTCTTCACAGGTTAATAATATTTCCTCCAAATTTCAGGCTAGTGAGATGCTCAGAAGGGAGTATGACATGCGCTGTAGAACTTTAAGACAACTGGAATCCAGTGGAAAAAGTCTCCATAATATCAAAATTGATAAAACTCGTGCTGTTGTTAAAGATCTGCACTCGAGAATCAGAGTTGCCCTTCACAGAATTGATTCCATATCAAAGAGGATTGAGGAATTACGGGACAAAGAGCTCCAGCCACAACTTGAGGAATTAATTGAAGGGTATGTATTTTTATGTTCCATTACTTAAAATCAGGAGGTGACTGGAAGTTGACTGAATCAGTTGAACTGTAATTTGATTTTGGCATATTCAACATCACACATGACTATTATATACTGCTAAACTCCGTCACATGTCATTGCTGCATTAAAAACCAAGCATGATATCATTATGACATTAAGAATTAAGAATTAAGCATGATATTGAAAGGTTGGTTCGAGTTTAATATTTGATCTAGCAGACCCATAGAGAACTTTCAACCTATGCATTGCCTCAAGTAATTTTTACTGGAAATGAATAAACTAAAAAATGATTGCAATAGAATGGTAATGGTTGGGTTCTTCTTTGGCAAATTCAATAATGTGTCTGATCCAGATGACTTTCATGCAAAAATCATATCTGTTTCCTTGATTATGGAAGAGGACTAGTCCTTGCCATTGGAATAATTAAGCTGGTTGTCTGAGAGAGAATTATGTATACAGTTTCAGTGAATAATTTACTCTGGTTTTCACTCTCTCCACTGACTGCAGGCTGAGTCGGATGTGGGAAGTGATGTTTGAATGCCACAAGCTTCAGCTCAACATCATTACAGTAGCATTCAACAATGGTAATGCCAAATTCTCAATACAGTCAGAGTCACATCGGCAGGTTACTGTCCATCTCGAAAAAGAATTAAGCTCTCTATCTTCAAGCTTTACAAAGTGGATTGAGGCTCAGATGTCGTACCTGCAGGTTATAAACAGTTGGCTTTTTAAATGTGTCTTTTTTACACGAAAACCTACCAAGAGAAAAAGGAGGCAAACACCCCCTTCGATGGCCTTAAGATCAAATGGCCCTCCTGTATATGCCACCTGTGGTGTCTGGTTGGACAGTCTTGATGTTTTGCCTGTAAAGGAAGTTGCAGAATCTGTAAGGCTTTTAGCAGCTGAAACTGCTCACTTTTTGCCTCGCCAAGAGAAGAACCAAGGGAAGAAATCTAAATTCTCATCCTGGAAGGCTGATAGCGGAAGTGAATCAGCAGTTAACATGTTGAGAGATGAGGCCTCAGAGGATTTTACTTTAGGTTTTGAGCATTTTCGATCAAGCTTGGAGGGATTTCTTGGCCAGTTGAAAAACTTTGCTGAGAAATCTGTCGAGATGTATGCAGAACTTGAAAAGCAAATCCATGTTGTCAAGAGTAATTATGAAAAAGTGATGTCCCAGCAGCAAGTTGCTTGATTGGAAAAGAGAGCTTGGTTACAGAGAAGAGGGAGCACAATTTTGTTTCATTGTATGACCATGACAGTGAGAAACTGGGAGGCAAGGCATATCAGATAGAGCTCTCAATTGGATACCGTATTTGTACATGAGGAAAGGAATAAAAGGGTGCTTAGTGGCTGTTTGTGGTTAAATCAAAGCAGAAAATAAAGAGGCTGGTAAAAATTTATAGTGAAATTAAAGACTTTTTAAAGGAGTGGTTTTGTATTTCAAAAGCTGTGCTATGAAGAAAATGTTGCTCTTCAATGTAAGAGGATCTGTATAGTCTCCTCTCCTCTTTTTTTTATGTTTTTCTTTATTAATTAATAATTATTATCAGAATTCAGATAAAATCGCTCCCCATTTTTCTCATCGTCTTGATTATGTGCTATATAGTGCATTCAATGCAGTGATCATTTGGATTTATATTTTCCTGTTTCTCTATGTCACTGTGTGTATGGTTTCAGTTCTTGTATTGGTCCCCGTCACTAAAAACTGGTAGGACATGGCACTGAACTGGATTCTGACTTACGTTCCATGCATTTGGATTCGGTTATCTGCAGGAGTTCCTGGGGTCTTCTTGGTAGTTTTGTGTTTTCTTCATGCTAGTGTCAGGTAGTATTTTAAGGTTTTATCCAAAGTTAGTAAACAGTCCCGAGGCAAGTTAACTAAGGTTAATTTGAGTTTATTTAATATGATGTATATTTAAGATTTAAGAAAAAATTAAAATGATAGTTATTTTTTAATATTTTTTTATATCAACATTAAGGTTTCAGAACATATCAGAAAACAAATCTCTAATTCATTCAAGCCAAATAAGCAACCTGGTGGATGAAGTTGGTAATAATAACAACAGGAAGAAAACCCTATCTAGCAAGGAAAAAGAAGAGAATGAGCATAAAAAAAGAAGAAAAAAATCAACATAAGAACAAGTCATCAAAAAACAAAGAAAAAGGAGGCACCCCTCCAACCTAACACTATGATCATTTCAAGCTTCAGCGCCAGCTGACATACACAGGTGATTGATCACACAAAAGACTTAAAATCCAGGCAGAAGGTGTCTTTGCCGTTACGTTGTTGATATCGTTAACTATTTTCTTCCTCGAAAAAATCCCACATTTGATCACACAATATTTGCCCCCCCTCATAAACAAGAGCCAGATCCTACATATACCCTTTATCAGTAGTTCAAACCTTGATTAATGGCTAGTTGGCTAGGTGTCTACATCAGAGAAATAGAATTGAAATGAGAAAAAAAAAATATAAGCCAAAATTAATATGAGAAAGAGTTCAAGCAGACGAGGTCGCCATCTTGCTTGTATTCCTGATCCTTGTTTTTTGCTTGAAAGAGCATTCATGTCACTACGAGTGGAAGGGCAAGAGGCCTTGCTTCAATATACAAATACAAACACGCTCTCCCAAACTCTGAACTGGTCCAAATTGTGGCACGCATGAATTACATAAACTTAGATTGTTCAACGAAGAACTTGTCCAAATTGAATCCGGCTTATTCAATTTGGACCCACCTGTTTTGGACATTTTCTTTATTGTCAGATTTATTTTGTTTGAAACACTGGACAGGCTTTCACACCTCAAGTTATTCTTGATTAAAAAAAAGACATAGTGATAAACGCATCTCTCTTGGCTGTTCATTCTCAAATCCCAGCTTAATAGATTTAGAAGTTACTTGAAAAAATATGATAATAATGAATTTTTAGTGTGTTTTTTATTAAAACAATATATTAAAATATTATTGTTATTGTTATTGTTATTTAGAATTTTGTTTTTTCATATTAGCGTATCAAATCAATTTAAAAACATTAAAAAATTAAACCTTTAAAAAACCAAACAGGATGTTAAACAAATCTCAGTTTCGTAGAAGAAAAATTAAACCTTTAAAAAACCAAACAGTATGTTAAACAAATCTTAGTTTCGTAGAAGCTGAGGCAACCTCTCTGGCCAATAAAATTCTCTCCGGCATGATTAGTTCTTGCATAAGTGATCTTAAATATGTTAAGAGTACAGGGCTGAGGTTAATGAATTACAGCTTAATTGGTGTTAAAATGTTTTATTTAAATTGTAAAGGAGATTAAGAAGATAAACCCAATGAACACACCATTATTAATATAGATAGCTTACTTAAAATCCATTAAAAATAAGCTTAATCTCGAGAGTCTCCTGATCAAACGATTAACAGAGTAGAAGTAGAGAAAAGATGATTGTTGACAGCCATTTTTGGCAGCTCGATAATCTTCCTCCTAGATTTGCTCTTCCTCTGACCATTTTTTAGAATAATTTAAGCTCATTTACCTCAATTAATCAGCTAGAACCATCTTTACAGAGCTTCATTTGTAATAATATCCAAGGGATTAAGCCAAAATAAATATAATATTATGCCACAAAATGGACTCCATCAATCCGTGACGTGCATGCCACTCACCAATGAAATAATTTACAAGAGAATAAATTCATGGTATATATATTTTTAATTCTGAAATATTTGTTCCATTAATTTGTAATATTTCTACCACTATTACTAGAACCACAATCTCATTAAAAAAAAAATTAATTAATATATAAAAAAGGGAAAAAAATGATCCCAGATGCACTACCTCTAAACTACCACAAATCCACACCATAATCACAACTTTTAGACCCAATCTTCGCAGAAGCCGTTAATTTATCCACCGTCAAATCACAGTCAACTTTGACGGTAATCTTCCATGTCTTAACAGACCCAACCTTAAACTTGACCGGAGCCCTCAAAACCAGATTAAACGGCACAGTTCCTTTACTAACCCCGTCGACTAAAGCCGTACGAACACCACTCGTTAACTCAATAGCTGATCCCTTTAACGACGTTACAAACACCGTCACATTGTTTTTCTCTTGGTAGAAAACAGGCAACGATCCCGCAGCCATTTTAACGCCGTCGTTATAAACATTAACGGAACTTCCTTTTTCGTAATAAATTCCAATTTTATTGTTACGGTTATTAGCTCTCACAGTAACGTTAAACTCCGGAGAGATCGGTCCTGATGACGTCAGATTTAACCCCGAAATGGAGACACGCTCGATTGAATAATCCGGCGACTCGGGTCGGAAAACGAGGTAGAGGATAGCTGCAGCGAGGCCGACGAGGAAGAGGAAGGCAGCGAGGAATGAGAGGAACCAGCAGAGACAACAGCAGCAATGGCTACGGCGGGGCTTACGGCGGGAGAGACGTTCGAAGCGTTGAGCATTTTCTGGTGGCGGAACTCGATAGACTTGGTCTTTAGGGATCTGGATGACGTAAGTTCCTGGTGGTGGTTGGCCCGGTTTCTCTGACTGAGGTCCGGCAAGTTTCTTCGGTGACTGTGGGTGATGTGCTTGATCATCCTCTTCCTGGGGTGGCGGCGGAGGCTGCTTGAGCTCGGTAGTCTGTGGTGGTGAGTCATCACGAGGATAAACTCGGTCGGCCATTGTTGCTGTCGACGATGACAGAGTGTGCTGAGACTACCGCTGCTGTGTGCCCGTAACCGATGAAGAATGAAACAGAGATTCAAGTGAGGGAGGTGGCTGTGTCATGCTTGGTGTCTTAAATAGGAGTGTCTGACACACGAGACCGCGTGAGAGATTATCTATAGGGGTAAATGCGGTACTTTACAAGATAAAGGCCAAAACAAAAGAGCGTGCAGCGTTACCGCGTGAGAGATATGAGGGTAAAGCTGGAAATTTGTATTTTTGCTAATTGTTTTCTTCTTAATTCGAGAGAGAATAATATATAATTTTCAAACAGTAACAGCCTTCATTGTGTAGGAACGAAAATCAAACCTCAAATCTAACGCCAGCTATTAGGGTAGTTTTAATGTTGTATTAAAAAAAAAAAAAACTTGTATCAGCTGTACTGTAAGAGAATTTTTTTTTTTTCATTTGAATTATTTTATTAAACACAGTTAATGATATATTAAATATCCGTGTGTTCCTTGTATAATCCTTGCCAGAGGAGGAAATTGAAAGAGTTTTCATTTAATTTTTTATAAGTATTTATGAAAAAAATTAAATTTTTTATTTAGTTTTTTCTTTACTTTAAATTATATATATATATATATATATGTTTTCATTTTTTTTAATATGTTAATATCAAAAATAAATTTTTTAAAATAAAAAATATTATTTTGATATATTTTTAAGCAAAAACTATTTAAAAACAACCGTTATAATACTCACAAACACTCCAAATCTTCCAAATATTAGCTCTAATTAGAGTTCACTTGCATATTTTTCTTTTGCATCATATTAAAATAAAACAAAACTTTTTTTAATTTTATCCTCTAATAAAAAATTTGTGAGAAACATACATATAATAAATGATCTTGTTAATTGTATTTAATGGAATGCTTTAATTGAGAAATAAAAATTATTTATTTTTTAATTGATAAAAAAATATTTGAATGTGTAATTGAGATTAGATGATAAGTTTTAGTCTTGAAAGAAATCATGTAATGTAAGATAGGAGTCGCAGGGAATTTTTTTCTCTTCATTTTTTGATAAATAATATTAATGGAATTTTTGGTAATGCCTCAAAACTTGTACCACAAAAAAAATTATTTTTACAAAGAGAGTTTAATTATTGTAGAAATAATAAAAAACAAGAAGAAAGGTACCCAAAAACAAATGACAAGAAATTATTGCATATGCATCAACACATATTAGTTAATTTAATGTTATTTTTCTGTAAATTAAAGATATGTCTTGGAAAAAGAAGAAGAAATTTTACATGTTCAAACATTAACTGAATGGGTAGGCCGTTTGAAATTATATTTCAAATGATGTTTTTAAAATATTTAAAATATTTATTTAAAATTAAATTTTTATATTATTGGATTGTTTTAATATGCTGATGTTAAAAGTAATTTTTTTTAAAAATTATTGTAATATATTATTATAATATATTTCTAAATAAAAAATACTTGAAAAAACAATTAATATCACATTTTTAAACACGTTTCTGAATAAAAAATATTTAAAAAAACAACTAATATCACATTCTTAAACACCTTCTAAATCAAAGATATCATGCAACATATTCCGTGTGTAAAATGTGCAAGGAAATTATTAGTTGGAAGTGATTTTCATATAATTAGTCTTTTATGATCATACTTAAAAAAACATAAACATGTCAAAATGAGAGCTAAGCCGTAGTATGGCAAGAAATATAATTAACCGGGTTGTAATGATCAGATTAACCATGCAAAACATGTTCAAGCCCCAATCATGTCAATACCAATAAATAAATAAATAAATAAAAACAAAATTAATACTATCAAATTAACTAAAACAGTTGGTCTCGCGCGTGATCAATGAATTGAACCGATAATTTAATTAGTAATTTAAATCTCTTTCAGGTTAGTGTTCTAATAACAGTGTAAAATGATGAGGTAATTTCATTCTCCAAAAATACATAAAAATCCACTCTCTCTCGCTTGCTCTCTCTCTGGATGGCGTGGGACAGTTCATTCTCCGATGTCAAGAAGATTGGAAAGCGGCTGATCAGAAGTCGAAAGAGTCAAGGTTCAGGAAGGAAATTATGCTCTATCCTTCCTTACAAGGTGCATGTGATAATTTTATTTAGTTCATAAATAAATCGTGAATATCACTTCTCCATTTTAATTAATTTTTGCTGTAGAATTAATTTGCTTGCTAGTTGGCACACGCAGTATTTGAAAGGGACACACGGTTTTGGAGGGGAAGACCAGACTAGCCTCTCTCTTTTTTAATTATTTAAAATCGTTGAGAAAATATGGAGGTAAGAGGAAAGGGTAGTTGTATCATCGTCAATTAATGGTTTCGAGGGTCTAGGAAGGTAGCTTGGAAAGTAAGATATCTCCCGGCTTTAGCCAGGAAAACGCAACGGGGCAGGTAGCTTGACTGCGTTCAAGAACAAGCAGCCATGTAAAATCCCTTTCCTTGACTAATTAATGCAAACCAAAAGCCACCCTTCAACGATTCTTTCCACGCCAACCTAAACATAAATCGCTTTGTGCAGAAGAAACATGAGAAAATTGTTGCATGGTTTCTTTATTTATTTATCTCCAAAGCTCATGATGATATATATATATATTATATAATAGGTTGCAATAAAACAGGGAATCTTCTTGCATGTCGTCCATCGAGTGTTATCTTTGAACCCTTTTAACCAAGCCAGTAACCCTCCCATGCTTGGATTGATGCAACAAGGGACATAATTTTTTTATGATAATGTATCATGATCCAAACTACCGTCTGGATATTGTGATTTTCGAGCCTTTTCTTTCTGGGGTTTTGAGAGATTTTTTAATCTGCTGCTGCTGCTGCTAGCGATAACATTTGTTCCTTTTCCTTTGATAATATTCTTTTAATAACCTCAGATTAAGACTTAAGGCCTCTAGACTTGACGTTTTTTGTTCAATAACATCTGGTTCATGTGGTTTTCTTACCTTTCTAGGTTTTTTTTTTAACAATTTATGATTTTTTTTTTACTCTTATGGAATATTCATTTCATAAATATAGATAGATTGCAAACGATTTGATGAACAAAGTTGTTTAATAAGAGAAAGGAATGCCTCTGATGCAGCAGAACTACCAGTTATCGCAATGTATAAGATTAGTTTAATTATGGCTCTTTTTTCTCATACTAGTTATCTTTGAAGAGAAACTATCTAGATGATTATTTTTTAATGGCCGATAATTCACCATGAGAGATACAAGCCGTTTGGTGGGAATCATATATTTTTTAATACCAACTTGAAGCTGTTGATGAATTTTGTGAGGTTAGGTGTTTACTAAATACTTACATTGTTAGAATGGTTCATGGTGATGATGATAACCAAGTGAAAATGATGGTTTTTGAACGTGTCAAAGGCTGCTGCGGTCTGCTTCATCCGTGTTTTTCCCTTTTTCCCTGTCAACTTCTCGCTTGCTTGTTTTTACCTCCATCATTTCTATACTTTGGAAAGTGAACTCTCGTTTTCGCCGGCTTGCAAAAATCTTCTTGAAAATTAATTAGATATTCACTTGTGCAGATAAGTTTCAGATGCCTAGCTAGTTATTTTGTTGCCATAGATTGGCGTCTTTATAATAGTTAAGAGTAAATATTTTTTGTTTCTGATTTTGAATATTGAAATTAGGTTTTTAATTTCTTGTTATATTTTAAGCATGTCATTCACCATCAAATTGGGATAAATATTGGGATAAATATAGAATTGGATTGATGCATTAGAAACATTTATTTAGTCAAATACATGGTAGAATTAAATCCATTCTAGAGACTAAATAAAAAAAATTAGATTATTGGTCAACTCATGAGTCACTAGATCAACTCAAATTATTATTTTTATCAAAACAAAATCACTTTGCTATTTTAAAAAATTCATTAATATTAATATTTTCAGATTTAAATTAAGTTTAACTGGATCAATCAAATTACTAAAAACCTTATAGAGTTATTCAAATTTAATCGTTTAATATTATTTTTATTTTAACTTGAAAGCTAGCCCACATCATGCTAGCATGATTGTGAACTTTTCAAGTCATCCTACCACGTGGATTTGGATTTAATACCTCTGATAGAAACAGATTCACCAAGGAACGAGATCAGCTCTCCAAATGTTTCATGAATGGTTTGAACATGGATGCCATAGTAACTTCGACAAAAACATAAGGGCAGCTCACTTGTTTTGTGCAGACTGACCTCCACGCTCAAGCCAAAATTTCTCAACTCTCCTCTAGTCTCTACTATGATTTAAAATGAAGATAACATCTCTTGAATTAAATAAGTTGAATTGGTGGAACTTGTCACATCTGCATTTGATTTAAAATCTTTACTATGATATTACTTTTTTAATGTATTTTGGCAAGGTTAGGGACATGATATAATTTTAATGTATTTTATCAGATTGATCTGATAACACAATGACCAGGCCCAATTCCGGGTCAATTCTCGAGCTAAGCTCATGAGATGGGAAGCCTGCACAACAATCTTAACTATGCAATAGGATTTTTAGCACTAAAATGGAAGTCTGTAGTGAGATCCAAAATAATTCCATAATCTGTTCGAAGGCTAAACGTTGAGATGAAAAGGAGTTTCGAAAAACTGGAGTTGATATTCCCAAAAAGAAAATGTGTTTCATGACAAAATAATTTCATTACTGTACAGTTCGAGTTCCATTGGCTCTGAGAAACGTAACATGATAGACACCTAATGGCTAAAACTTGAATGCAATAAAGATACATATGTTGTAAGATTATAACAACACCCATAGCATGATACCAGAAAAGGATAGCTCAAAGGCCGATGAGTTTCCTATTCAAATGCTCCCCTGAGAAATCTCCATGTCCTTGGTGATCATGATCATGATCATGAAAAATAAGCGTCAAGATTCCTACCAAACATAGAACTGAACCAACAAGAAGTTTGTCATATCGCTCAACCCAATGAAACTTGAGCTGGCTGGCACCGTAGAATGATAGAGCCACAAGAGATGTCATCACAGTTATTGTGCTGCCACCAAAAAATGATCCAGTGTCAATCAATCTTTATATCGCGGCAAATAAACCTACATGGTTTTGACTATTGCACAACTTAACATTCAGAACGGCAACTAAGGAAAGATAAGAGAATGGTTTATCCAACTGTTTAATATCAAATATAAGAATTCCCACACAAATTAAACAAATAAACGTAGAGTGAATGTAACTTTCATATTCTGGACTTCTTTTTCCTCAAGCAAATTCCATGCAATTAATTTATGTTTCTAGTAAATATGGAGAGCCCAATAAGGTGGTCTGTTAAACAGGAAATCCAGCAATCCAAACACTTAAGTTTAGCTACCTGCTTCTAATTAATGGAAGAAACAACGACCCAACTCAACTAAATCTTTACTAACCAGATCTGGTATAAGAAAAGACACAATCTCAGTACGCCATTTGAATATGATTTCAAATAGTCTAGTTTAATTTAGGAACTCTTCATATAACCATAAAAGGAATGCAGGAACAGTAAATAAACACAGAGAGAAATTATTCTGCACCTGATAGTGGATGATTAGAGATCTATACCAGTAAGATGCACAAAAAGTAATCCAAACACCGATAAAAACTTCTGCATATTCATGTTAATAGTTTTGGACATGATTATTACACCAGAAAGCATCAAAAGGAGAGACTCCAATAAGAAATAAGAAATAAATAAAACTGGCAACCAGAAAATATACAGACACGGGTTCATTGATCATATTTTTATCCCAACCAAGATGAGCAGAGGCATATCTAAGTATGAAACTCCACAATAAGCAAAATAACTACCCAAAATGCAGAATGGACATAACATTGATACCTGAATAGCAGCACAATAATAGCAAGCACCATCATGGAGGATGAATTCCCAACAGCAAGAAAAACAGGGAGAGTTGTTGCACAAGGAGATAATGCAGGAACAAGGACAAGCCCTGCAACGGCCATTTTCTCCATAGGCTGGTTATGAGAATGACTATGCCCTCCTTTCCCAGACAGAAACAGTATCATATAACAACCACCAAGAATTATAAGCAAAAGCGAAGCAAGTTTGTGAACTGTTTCTTCACCAGCAATAGTATTCGCCATAGTAATTGCTGTTATACCAAGAAGTGAAGTAGATAGCACATGCAAAACTGCCCCAAATGCAGCTGCATAAGAAAACAAAAGCAATAATGATAACTACCACAGGCATGGCAACACCAATATTGTATCATAATACATAATGAGACCATAAATCATGAAATTTTTTAATTTCCAATACAAATCTGAATCTAGAATAGAACCAATGAAGTTGATCTCAAAACATCAGCATGACCAAATACAGTGCCAAGTTTTGAAACATTGTCGAGTTAAGAGTGTATTTGATAATGCCTTTGGATGTGCTATTACAAAGAGATTTTCCGCTGAAAAAGCATCCATTTTTGGGTGTTTTTCAATGATTTGACATAGGGATGCCAAAACCATCGAAGGCACCTAGAGAGCGCTTCCAAGCACTCGCTAACGCACTGCGAAACACACTCTTTGCCAACCCGATCAGACATTAAGACACAAAATTTAAAACCATCCAGCTTAAAATCACATCAGAAAACTCCAACAAAATTAAACACTAAGAAATCAAGCTAATCAACTTGGCAGATTCACATCACATTTTCATGAAAAAATAAATCATTTCAAGCACTAAACATGCAGTGCTATAGCAAATTGCTAAAGACGCAACCTTTTTCTTCATATGTTCTTAATAATCAAAACTCACTAATAATTTTCTATTTTCTTACAAGTACATAAAGAAAGAGACCCGGATCTAAACGGAAAAGCAAGGCAAGACAGCGGGAAGAGAGTACATACTGACAAGGAGAGTTCTGGAGAGAGTCCATTTCTGGGCACGCCCGACAATAGAGAAAGGAAGCCAATGTGTTGGAATGAAAGAATGGAGAAGAGAAACAGTGGCTATTCCTCCGATTGTTGACAGATCTTCTGCTGTGAAACTCTCCATTGTTTACTTCTGTAGTTAATTGCGCAAATGGTTTTTCAAAAATAAATCAATGATCTTACATTTACTTAACAGTAAGTTTTGATCGATGATTGTGGCGGCGGCGTGGCGGAAATGGATTTTGCGTTCCTCGAAGATACGGTCAGATCCAAAAGTATGGGAAATAAAAAGGACCTTTTTATGTTTGCTTTTTAGTTTTCATCAATAATTTTACTACGAATAATATGTGTAAAATTATATACCGAATAAAATTATTGTGATGGATAGAAGAATTCTGTTTTAAATTTGTTTTGAGATTTATTTTTGTTTAAAAATATATTAAAATAATTTTTTTAATATTATATATTAAAATAATCTGAAAATACTAAAAAAATATTAATTTTAAAAAATAAAAAAATTTTAATTTTTTTAAAATACTTTTTAAACACATAAACAAATAAATTATTAGAGCCTAACTTTAATAAATATAAACAGGAAATTAATTCATCTTTAATAAATATAAATAGGGATCTGATTAGGTGATAACTTGATTAGCTAAAGGAAAAACCTATTAAAACTTTTTTTTTTTTTTTTATAAATACTGACTTGTAACTTGCCTGAGTTGGCTTCCATGAAAAAACATATTAAACCAATTACACGAAATATATAATTTAGAATCTGAATTTTCTCTTTTCTTTGAGAAAAGAAAATAGATAGAAAAACTATAAGAGCTTGGATTTTTTAAAAATAGAAAAACTTGATTTTCTTTTTTCAATGGTATTTTCCTTTGATTTAGGATGCGTTCGCTTTTTATAAAACATTACCTGACATTTTTTTTCCTTGTCTGTAGTTTATAGAATAAAGAAATTAGTCTAGAAAAAAAAAAAAAAAAAGTCCCGCTCCTCACTCTTACTACTAAATTTGTGCTTACAGGGGCCAATAAAACCAGCAACGGGAGCAGGAAGATTGAAAACCTCTGGCACTCTATGGAGGTGTACATCCCTCGGAATTGAAAACCTTAATTTTTTTCTTCATCACTGGCTGTTCAGGATGAAAGTGCTGGAAGACCAGACAACATCAAACCATGGCCATAGATTTGACAGGTATAACTGGCACCAAGATAAAACCTATAAGGTGACCACAAAGCACCCGAAGCTGGTTATCATCCTTAAAAGCAAGTTCAGATGGATTTGATACACGACGTCGATGGCAATGAGCATCAAAGAGACTGAAAGTCTTAATCAGAGACTGTAACTTCTGATACAAGCCACAAAACACCGACTAGGAGAAGAAAATAGAGATAAAAATTAACACATGAAATAAAGTACTCTGATAGATTCACTCAGACATCTAGTAGATAGAAAATGGCTATCAAGGAAGCATAGAGGTTCAGAAAAATTGTGCTTGTTAACAAAATATCACAGTGCTCTCAATTGAAACCCGCATTCCAAATGGAAAAGGAACCAAAACTAAGTAAACATGCTATTGCTTGGAAACTGGGTCAATGATCACCAGGTACGCTCTTAATGATATCGGAATCACCTGAACAAAACACATGAGATTGCCACGATCAGAAAACAAAAATCACATAATGCATGTAAATATCAAAACGAAGGCCACTTCTATTTACCTGGATCAATAATGCTGAGGCAGCATACTCTGAAATATTTTCCACAAGCAGTGCCCAAGTCAACATTATCTGACACAATATTAAACACAAATTTTAATGAAAATAACCCAACTTGACAAAACTTGATAACACATGAACTGTTTAGAATTCAAGAAAGACTTTGCAGTTTGTTACAGAAAGTGAAGATCAAATTATGGATGAGCAGCTATTCTTTCATGAAAAAGACACAGGAGCAACAGCTCATGTCATAACACAGTGCAGGGAAACACCCATCAGAACCTCCTCTAATCTTTATAGCATTCTTTCATGAAAAAGACACAGGAGCAACAGCTGATGTCATAACACAGTGCCGAGAAACACCCATGAGAACCTCCTCTAATCTTTATGGGATTATTCAATGGACTAACCTTCAGATTTCAAATATATATTGCATGCTTTTCAGATGAGCTATGACCTTAAAATAGGTAACATCATCAAATGTCAATTTGAATGCTATACTGCACTTTATAGACTACCTAACCATTAATTATATCAAATAAGAAAAGAAACAATGAGCCATGCAAACATCAACCTTCATGATTTTGGTAAAGCCAGCCCTAAAAGAAAACCAATAGATTCCAGAATGAAAAAAAGAAATCAAATTCCTAATTTTAAAACACAAATTGACCCTGGATACAAAAAGCAAGCTTCTAAAGCTAAATTCATAACTAGACATGAAAATGCAATGAATGACGCGAGAGAGATGTTAGAGCAAATTCAAGAAACTCACTTCCATTGTAGTGATGAACTCCAACCTTGGCCAACATAGCATAATATTCAATCTCAGACTTTCTCAGAGGAGGACAATTGTTGGAGATGATGATAAGCTTCCCTGCAAACACAAACACACGTTTATTTAAGAAATCTCTTGACACATAAAACAAACAGACCCCACAAGAACCAAACCAAAAAACCAACCACAGCACTATTAAAAATCAGAAGGAAAAAAAAAGCGCACAGCTTTCTCCACTAAACAACCCTCACAACCTCACAGATCAAGGTAAAGTACCTCTTCAATCAGAACCCCTTTTAGAAAATTAAGTAAAACGCAAGCCCCATTAATCAGATCAACAAAAAAAACCTCAAATCACAAAAAAAACTAGGTGTAAAGGAGACAGAAAATAGGAGCTTGCCCTTTGAGTTTCTGAGAGATTTCAGCACAGTCTTGTACCCCAGGGTGTATTTTCCACTCTTCATGACCAGTGCCAGTCTGTTATTGATAGACTCATGAGTCTTCTTCTGCAATTATCAAAGAAACACAAGAAAGAACAGAAAAGTTTAATCGTTTTTTCAATTAAAAGAATAATTGGAAAGAAAAAATGTTGATGAGAGAGAGAAACTTACTGTCTTCTTGGTGGCCACCATGGTAGTGATGCGAGAGGTTTCTGCAGACAAAATGAAGGCTCGCCACAGCAAGAAACCCTGGCCCGATATAATCTCTCTATTTATATAGAGAGGAGGCTAGGGTTTTGTAGAATGTAATTGTTTGGGAGTGTAGTATTTTACGAGCGGGCCGGGCTTGGGATGCTCTCAACCTAGTTTTGCTTGTCCTGAGGTCAAGATTGGTAAAGTAGGTTTTTTTTATTTTATTTTGACAAAAATATTTTAAATTAATGCAAGTACATCGGGTTTAATGATAACGGTGCATGTTTGTTATTGGTAAACACGTATTTTCAAAAAATGTTAAATATTAAAAAAATGCTTTTCTATATAGCTTTTACCATTGGAATGTATATCAACAAAAAAGCTATATCTACATTATTTATTTAATATATTGATATTAAAAATATATTTGAATGTTTTTTGAAAACATATACTGTAAAAAGTAATCATCACTATAATAAAAATATTGTTATTAAATAACGGTGAGTATGCATATCTTAACACTATTTGTACGATTTTAATCATAATATTGTTTGCTTATTTTAATCCAAGGACAAGCATAAAAGGGATACTATTTATTTAATTCGTTTATAGTTGAGCATGCAATCATCAAATTTAATTAAATATTGGAGCAAATTAAATATTAAAAAAATCATATTCAATACCGGAGCAGATCAAATGGCTGCAGTGACTGGATTTTTTTTATTAAAATTTTTTTAGTTTTGAGATAAAAAATAATTAAAGTTGCTATGTATGATCCTACCATGTTCAGTTTTGGGAGACGGTGACAGTAAAATAGTTCATCACAGAACGAATTAGTCTATATTCAAGTATTTTTTTTAAGATTTGATTAAAAATTAAAATTAAAATTAAAATTAAACAGAGATTGTCATTCTGTAAATATACTACTGTTTTAGAGATCGAATCAGTCTTTTTTGTTTACCTGAAATGAAATATCTTGATACAATACTCTTTATTTTTTAGAAATCGTCAAGTTATATAAATCACACATGTAACAAAAAAAAATCTATTGATAAATATTTAAAAATATAATGGTGATTGTTTTTTATTTTTTTGAAAATATATTATAATAATAAAATTTTAAAATATATTTTTAAAATCAATATATTAAAACAATAAATAAATACTAAAATAATTAACTTAAAATAAAATTATTTTTTTATAAAAAGTAGATTGAATCATAGCTTCAATCGGGCACATGTATTTGTACAAATTAAAAGGAATATCAAGTAACAGGAAACTGGCATGCAAAGACTTAACGAGTCTGAACCATAGTTTTGCGGGTTGACCAGGGACCTATCAAATCAGGTTCAAGAAAAAATCAAGGAAGGTAAAAACCCGAGTGAGCCGGTAGAAAACCCTTGATAATTTGACAAGACCTGGAAAAAAAAAAATTATTTATTTCTTTTAACAAAATAATGTGGTTTTGTTTTATAAAAAATCTGGGGTCTACCCGGGATGATCTGATTAAAATCCATGACCCTTGATCCCGGGTCGATTTTAACATTTATTTCTTTTAACAAAATAATGTGGTTGGGTCTACCCGGGATGACCTGATTAAAATCCATGACCCGTGACCCCGGGTCGATTTTAAAAACTATTGGAGAAACCCATTCCCCAAGCACGCGAACACACCTTCTCATTTCTTCTCTGCTTTTTCCCCCAAAATTTTAAGCCCTCAAAAGTTCCTCTAGGGTTTTCACTACCTCAAAAAAAATCCCCAAACCCAAACCCCGATGGCCGAAGTCATTAACATGCCGGTCGATTCCCTCGACCATCGCGGCGGGAACGGCGGTGGAGGAGGACGGGACAGG